TTTTTTTTTTTTTTTTTGCCTCTACCTGGAGGCTACCTCTGGCAACCACAATCCTTCTAATCAAGGACAGGACAGCACCTCTTTTAAAGAACCTATCATTTGCCTGGAGAGCATAATGTTAAATGATGCAGCCCATCCTCCACCATAGTACCCCAGTGCCTCTGGGAGCATCTTGACATTCCTTAGAACAATATAAAACAGGCACAGTTGTATCATCCTATCCAAATAAGGATCTAGGAAACATCCTAACTACTGGCAAACTTAAAACTCAGTCTATCCTAGTGCAAAGACTCATTCCTCTATTTGTAATCCCAGAAAGGCATAAATATTAACTCTCTTTTCTTTTCTTTTTACCAGAATGGAACAAAATCAATTAAATCTAAATCAGCTGTCCCCATTAGCAGCTGGAAACTTGCAGTTTGATATTTACTGCTTTTCTAACTTACAGAATTCAACAAGACATATTTATTTACTGGAGGAGATAGTTATCACACAGGTGCTATCAGGGACTCTGGGGGCTTTGGAAAGCTCTGTCCTATATTTTATGTTATACAGAACCATGCATTATACAAAGGATGTTTATAACGGCACTCTGTTTAACAGCCAGATGTATGTTAGGAGGTTCATAAGGAAGAGCTTACTGAACCTAATTACTTGTTCAGATAGGCAAACTGGGTTCTGATTTGAATCCCCATGCACTCTTCCAAAATTCAAAAAAATGCATGCAATATTTATTTCCAACGCAATCAGGAAACAGTTTTTCTCATGAAGCATTTGCACTGTGAGCACAAACACACAGATATACAATTTGCTGGAGAATGCCATACGGACACACTAGCCTAAGTCCAACATTCAAGTCGACACATGAAACTAGACAGCAAAAAGAAATGGGCTTAAACAAGGAAAAGTTATTTCAAATATAAATTGGGGGGATGGGGAGGGGAGACACAGTGCTTTTTGAACTATGGAAAGATAAATAAAGGATTGCAATGTTATCAACTTGCTTATTTTTTACCTCCCAGAAACTATCACTGGCTTACAGAAATTCTCCTCCTTATCTCCCCCAAGGGAGCCCAAATGATTGAAGAACAGGGACAGCAGCAACATCTCACTTGGAACAGCAAGGCTTGTTCAGAAATGAGCTGAACTGGAATGCCAAGGCCAGGAAAGAAGGAGGAATAAAAACGGGCACTGCTGTGTAATGTGGACACTTAACATAAAGGCTAGGAACAGACATTAAACATAAACCAATTTAAATGATCAGAAACAGGTTTAAATCTGTAACAGAACAGATGTTCAGTGCACATAAACCAATTTGAAAATGGCTGAAACCAGTTTGAGATGAACCTGGTTGAATGTAGTATCAGACTTAATTGATTGCAGTCAAACCGGTTTATGCAACATCTGTCCCAGACCCCTTGCTGGTTTAAGCTAAATCAGAGTACCCTAGCACCCCAACATGCTCTCTAGGCTGGGCAAGGCTCTCTACTCCACAGCAGGGATGGCCCCTCCCCTCTGCTCCCTGCCTGCAGCTCCAGCAGAGACTTACAGGCACAGCAACTTCTGCCTGGTTTCCTCCTGCTCTCCCCTTCCCCTTCCCACTCCCAACTAAGAAGGAATCCCCTCTCCCCTCCGCCTTACACAGACACCTCAGCATTAGCTAGCAGACCACATGCTGGCTACGGTCTGTGGTGTGACAGACAGCAGTGTCAGCTTAGGCCTTTTTGGGGGCTAATCAAAGCTCAGCTGATAATGCCCCTCTCTTCCTTCTTTGTTTAAGAAGAGTTTAAACTAATGAGAGAGACTTTGTTTTCTGATGGGGTGATACATGCTGATAACAGAGCTAATAAATGCTCTGTTATCATTCAAGGAGTGGGGGAACCCCTCCCTAATCCTGCTGGGGCCTTGCCACACCCCCCTAAACTCAGCCCTATGCAAGGGAAGGGAGAACTGCTCTAGCAACCCCTCTTCCTCCCAGCCCCCCAGCCCCCCTGCTTCTAGCCTGAGCCACTGCACGCATGTGCCTGCATTTCTGGGGTGTCTGTGCTGTTACAAAGTGATTCAGCCTAGTCAGGTTAGACTAACCTTCAAAGACTGAATGAATCCACAGGAGAAGGCTGAGGGGGGATCTAGTTGCCTGTTACAAACTAGTCAGAGGGGACCAGCAGGCACTGGGGAAGTCCCTTTTCCCTCGTGCACTACCAGGAGTGACCAGGAATAATGGTCACAAGCTGGCAGAGGGTAGATTTAGGCTGGATATCAGGAGGTGCTACTTCACTGTCAGGGCGGCCAGGATCTGGAACCAACTTCCAAGAGAAGTAGTGCTGGCTCCTACCCTGGGAGTCTTTAA